GGTGCCGTAATGGGACTAATTATAATAATTTATTTCAATTCTATTAATCTTTCGTTACTTGAGATAAAAATGGATGGAGCTCTTGACAAAGATAATCATGTATAAAAGAAAGATATATAAGAGCAGCACTAATGATAATAACAACAATAAAAGTAATCGTGAGGTGATTCATCTAAAATGACATTAATTGAAAAAGAAAAACCAAAATGTAAAGTTGGCAATTCGATTTGACACAATAGGATCCATTTATTTTACCGACACGGTATGAATAATTCCTAACTTAAAATTTATTATTTATTATATAGATTGATACGGCACGAAAAAATATAAATCTGTTGTTTATACTAATATTATGTTCGCGTAACACAATATGAATAATTTATAAAAAAATTTAATATGAATTAATTTTATATTTGCGGATTAATATGTAACGAATTTTGTGTCAATTTTTGCCCTTTAAACAGAATTTGAGAATGAATTTCTTGTGTCATGTTGATGTCGCATGAACGGGTAATTTCAAGTTTCAAAATCAATCTATAAGCTTAACAGAGGTATATCAAGGCATGCTGCATGCACATGCTATTATAATCTATGTCCAGATATGCAAACCATGCTACAATGTACTATCTATATTTTAAAAGAAAAAAAAATGTTGCTGTAAAGTATCACAAGATTCACAACACATTATTTAATGAACATTATGTTTTCCCTTTTTAGAAATTTAATGAATTAAAAAATAAAATAGACTAAAATGTAATTAATCCCTTAAACTTTAGTCATGTTTCAAATAACCACCTTAAATTTATAATTGTTTTAACTTACCCACTTATATTTTATGATGATAACAAATTAATATATACGTTAAAATTTTGACTAACGGTTTTAATTCCCAAATCCCTAATTTTATTAATTCCCAAATTTGAATTCCATATTCTTCTAAGGAATTTCTTTTCCACCATATTATTTTCCATCATCTTCTAAGGAATTTTATTCGCACAGCATAGATGTTAATATTATATAAATGTTGCATATATATATATATATATATATATTTCACAAAATATAAGTGTCGCACATATATAAATATTGGGATTAATATTTCTCTTATCACAGGAGATAAAATTATTTTCAACAAGCACAAAATGACATAATTTTTGGGGTTAAAGATGTAAAATAAAGGATATTTTAATAAATTTCATGATATAAAGAGAAATATAAGATTTTCAAAATATCTTTTATTTTAAATTTTAAATTTTAAAATGATGTCGTTTTGTGCTAACGGCAGGTAACTTTATCTCCTGTCACAACAAAAATACCTTTCCCAAAAATATTTTACAAAATATAAATGGGTAAAGGATTTCTCCGGTGACCGGAGAAATACTTTTCTCAATATAAATAAGATAAATGATTTCTTTAATTTCTTCAGAGATAAATTATCTCCGATTAGCTCAAAATAATATTATTTTGTAGCTAATTTTAACTTATTGTAGGGTTATATTAGTCTTTATTATTATATTTTTTTAATCTTACAACTCAAAACGACGTCGTTTTGAATTAATTAGGAATAACTTTATCTCCGATAACTGGAGAAATACTTCTCCCATGTAAATATGGCATACATTCTTCATACCAAATTTTCTTCACGCAAAATACATCTTAACATCATATAAATTATATTTTAGCGGATAAAATATCTACCACTGTCACAATCACTATGTTTCTTGTTAACACCTTGGAAGCCTAATGTCTATCCTCTTTCTTTTTGAGTAGAAAATATTTTGAATAATCAGTTAAATAAGCTTGTCCATGATGCTAACTGCAAAAATCCAAAGGCTTTGGGGGTAACAATATAATAGATAGAAAGCAGAAGTTAGTTCCGTTCTAAAATAACAAAATGCCCGATTCTATTGTTTCTGTTTAGCTTAATTTCAACCAAAATCTAAACAGAACAATGAAAAAGATTTTTTATTTTTATTTTCATTTATATTTAATCTCAATCAGTAATCATTTTTTAATTTTTCCCGTCAACTTCTCTCTCATGGATTTTGCCCCCTTCTTCGCTTTGCAGCCAATTGATTCGGTCACTTTACTGTAACTTGCCAATTTCCAAAACTATCCTTTTTAATATTTTCATTACTCCTTCTCAATAATTATATAAATCATTAAACTCTTATTTTTTTTCTTGTATTTGCCCTCTTCTTCTTTGTTCATGTACTTCCTCATTAGAAAATTTTCTAAATTACAAAAAAGATTATAAATATCTTTTCCTTTTGATAGTGTTATCAAATAATTTTTATTTCAACTTGTGTATACGTTAATCTGATTCTAATATGTATTCCTGAAATTAAAGTCAGCACAGTGACTCCTCCTCACTTAGAAATATTACAGATATTAAAGTGAAAAATTAAAAAATATATGAAAATCAAAGGCAATTTAAATAACGTTCGTATTAAATAAAATACATTTCTTAATTCAAAGAATGAAATCAATGGACTATGGCAATAATTGAATTTTATATTTCTTTTCAAGATGCATTAAAGAAATTTAAAAGTTTAACGGTGATTTGATAATATTTAAATTAGCTCAAGAACTTTTTTTTTCTTTTCAAATCACTTTATCTCATTTCCTTTGGATGTTTTAACACTTAAAATTTTAATACTTTTTAAAATATATATCTTGACTATCATTGATTAGTTGTATTTCTGAGTGAAAATTGCAGTTTAGTTTTGACGAGAGAAGTGTATTATCCATAAATGAAAGAACAATACTCAATAAACATCAGAACATTTTCATGAAAATAATTTTATATTATGTTATCCAAAAGCTAGATTATCTTAACAAATCAGTCATGCATGTAGGGGTACATAACTTTAAAGTTATGTTTCCTTTTATATTGTTATATCTAGCAAGATATGTCACTCTATTTAAGGAAAAAAAATACGCAAACAGTATTAATAAAAGTATACCATCAAGTTTACCAAAAAAAAAAAGAAAACAAATAAACCATCAAGTAATCCACTTTATTTTTGGATGAACTACATTAACACCTATAAATTAAAAGAAAACAAATAAAGTGGAAATGAATATTCAACAAAACCATGTGAATGAAACTCATTTTAGTTAACATATTTGCTTCAATCAAAAAGAGCACACACACACAAAAAAAAACACATCCATTCCATTAACTATATACTGAATGTAGAGTTTTGTACAATAAATAAAGAAAAAATATTTTCTTTACATGATAGGAGAATTATTTTTTTATCAGTTATTCTTCAATTTTTGTGCAGCATTCCTTTTTAATAATTGTGAGCTCCACATAGAATGTGTCTATGACATGAAAAAAATTTCTCCTATGTTGCATGAAAAAATTAAAATTCAAAAAAATATATTAGCTTTTCTCTTTACATGAGGCTGACGTGTATCACCAAATAAAGACAATTTTCCATTTCCATTCTATTTAAAATCAATCAATCAAGTGCAAGAGGCATAATTAACAACAAGAATATATTAAAAAAAAATCAAATGATGATAGCTCAGTTGGGGCATAGAAACTGAGCAAATTGGGATGAAAGTATGTGTTCGATCCTTTTCATTATTATCATTGGAAGAGACTTAAAACTTTAATACAAAACCCAAAATTGTCTCCGGTGAAACGATGCGTGTGGTTTATCCAATATATATATAAATATATACTCCAATACACAGACACGCAGATTTTTAGAAAAAGGGCGTGTCGGACACGTGTCCGACACGGACACGCTCCGACACGCGATCAACATTTTAGGACACGTGGTCAACTCTCGGACACGCTCCGACACGCAGTCAACATTTTAGGACACGTGGTCAATGCTTGGACACGCTCGGACACGTTTTTTTTTTAGTCTTAATTTTATTTTATTAACTAAAAATAAAAAAGTTATTTATAAATCAATTTTTTTCTGTTATGAAATTTGACATGACAAATTATTAAGTACGAAAAATTAACAAGTACGAAAAATTATTATTTTTTATTTATGTTATAAAATTTGAATATTTGATTGGTTATATGACTTATTATGAACTGTTATATGTATTAAATATAAATTATTTTATATTTACTGAAAATATTATTTAATATCAAAACGTGTTCTAACGTGTTGAAATATGTCGTCTTTTAGAATTAACGTGTCGGCGTGTCGTGTCGTGTCCGTGTCATTGTCCGTGCATCATAATATATATATATATATATATGGGAAAAACGTTTCTGCAGTTAATGCAGATAAATTATCTGCATTTATTCCCAAAACGACGTCGTTTTGGTATTAAAATCTTAAAAAATTATAAATATAAAGACTATTATAACCCTGAAATAAATTAAAATTACAAAAATACCATGATTTTCGTCTCAAAACGACGTCGTATTGGCTTACTGCAGATAACTTATCTGCAGTAACTTCAGAAAAATCTATATATATATATATATATATTAAAAAATAAAGTCTATTGGACGTTGTGGGCCCTCTCAAAGATGCAATGGACCCCACTTAACACAACAGGGAAATCAAGTAGGAAACAGTGGACCCTTCATCATGTGGACTGTGTTTGTGTAACACTGGATTTACACAACTTTAATTTGTAAGACATGATATTGTCCCATTCAGTGGTTTGTGTTCTTCTCTCCCAAAAAAAAAATTGAAATGTTCAACCACAAACCAAGCCTTTTAGCCTTAGCCTACTTGCAAGGTGTATATCTTTCCTCTCCCATGGTCCCCAGCCATTTGAGTTTCTGAATCTCAAAGATCCAATTCAATGGTTCAGATTCAACCATGCCCCACCTCCCAATTTAATGTTATTTCCCCCTACATAGAGACACAACAAAAATCTTCATTTGTGTGCCATACACATGTTGCCGACCTTTGCATATGATAAAATCCTAAGTTTAGCACATTGGATTTTCCGAATTATTATTATTATTATCAAAGAGTTATTTTTAAAAATAAAATAAAAAATTAAGGGTGTTTTGGTAACTGGGGCTGTTCAAGAAGCAGTTATGGTCTTCGAGGATTAAGCAAAATATTGTGCCTCAAATCTGTGATTATTTTACAGCTGTGCATGATTTTCAGAAAGGTTTTATAGGAAACCAAATACAGAAGAGACAGAACAGAGTGAAAGAGTCAGATATAGTGAGTGTTAGTGCTTAGTGTACGTGTGATGGTTACTGGCTTTAACTGAACTTAGCGAGAGAATACAATCTATTGGATGTTTGAGTCTCTCTGAATTCAAAGCAATCTTCTATTTGCTTTTTGGGTTATGAATTTATGATGATAGGGCTCTCTGAATGTAAAATGAAGGTCTGGATTTTGTTGTAGAGAGAAAAAGGTTGGTTGAATGAGTAGGTGTTGCAAAGATTTTGCTTGAAGCACTTGAAGATTGTTTATCTCCTTCCGCTGTTTAATGGGTATGAAGCTTGAAAGTTTTTTGGTTATTTAATTGCTCTTTTTTGGTTTTGGGGTGTTGATCTAGTTATAAAAAAAGGGTCTTTGAGTTTGTTGAATTTTTGCTAGCGTTTTTCCCCCTTTGGAACTCAAATTTTGTAATGCTAGTACCAGTTTTTATTTGCAAATGATGGCTAGTTTTCTTGTAACACACCATTTGCTTGGAGGAAACGCATGCTTTGAATGGGTACAATTTGCTATTTTTTTGGCATTTGATTATTTCTGAGCATCTATTCCTACTCATTTCCAAATTTGAAGGGGAAAAAACCCAATTCTGCTCTGCATTTAAAGTACTTCCTTTTTTTGAGAAAAATCTAGTGCAGTGTGGGGGTGTTTTTCTTTTCTAAAAGGCTGCTCCTATGTTTTGGTAGGTTACCTGATGCCTATAACTAGATTCATGGACTAGGGGTACCTTGTAGTTGAAGAACATAACTTTTTGTTTTATGGGGTTTGTTAAATCTCTTGCTTAGCAATTGTTCTTATTTAATTTTGCCAATTTTTATGATTTATTAGATCTGTGAATTTTTCTTTTGACATTAGGACTCTATTGAAAAAAAAAAAAAATGCTCAATCTGCAAAATGAATCAATGATGCCTGCTGTGTTTCTTTATGCCTATTTCCTCATCAGTGTTTATTCTTTTTGTTAAGGTTGTTGAAATTTTTTGCAGTGAAAAGATAAAAGCTATGGATATTTCAGAGTACACAAGGATTGTTTTTGATAAACTTCAGAGATTTGAGCCTGAGCATGCTACAAAGATCATTGGGTATCTCCTTCTGCAAGACCATGGTGAGCAAGAAATGGTTAAATTGGCTTCATACCCAGACCATTTAATCCGTGAAGTGGCACTTAAGGCCAGAACCGAGCTTCAAAGGTTGGCTGCTAAAGCAGCCATACTTCCAATTTCACTTCCTATCAACCCTCAACAAGATTTGAACCATTTGTCAATAATCTCTCCCACCACTCCTACTTCACCAGCAAGCTTCCAGGTTCCCTCTTCCTATTGGGATCCACAGTCAGCAGGCAATACTAATGCCGAATTTATGACAATAGGTTACTTGGATTCTATCTCAGAACTTCAAGACCAGACCCCATTGTTTAGTTTTGATAATCATATTGATACTATAAATTCTGTGGCTGCTGGGATTGCCAATGATTACTATGGCTTAGATGCTTCAGCTGGCAATTTGGGTGGAAAAGCTGGTAGAAGGTTTTCAAATCTGTCTGAAATTCCTGTCAAGACATGTCACTATTTCAACAAAGGATTTTGTAAGCATGGAAGTAGCTGTAGATATTATCATGGACAACTTGTCCCGGAGATATTCTCTCAAATATATGGAAATGATGCTCTTAATGAGGATCATGTCATTTCACCAGGGTCACTAGCACAGTTAGAGTCAGAGATTGTTGAGCTCTTAAAAGCAAGAAGGGGAAGTCCTATTTCTATTGCTTCCTTGCCAATGGCATACTATGATAAGTATAAAAAGGTACTGCAGGCAGAAGGCTACTTAACTGAAAGCCAGAGACATGGTAAGTCTGGCTACAGTTTGACAAAGCTTCTTGCAAGATTGAAAAATAGTATTCGGCTGATTGACAGGTGAAGACTAGTGGATTTTCTATATGTATTCTTATGTAATAAATTGATTGAATCTTTCTAACTCTAATTTGAGTTTTGTCATGGTTGAATAACAGGCCTCATGGGCAGCATGCTGTGGTTCTAGCAGAAGATGCTCCAAAATTCATGGGAAAGGTAGATTTTGGTCAAAATATTAGTGCATCAAGACAAATATATCTGACATTTCCAGCTGACAGCACTTTCACTGAAGAGGATGTCTCAAACTACTTCAGGTAAATTAGATGTAACTCATAATTTTCACACTTCTTTTGTAGGTAATTGTTTTGTATTGGAATATTCAAATTGCTCTTACATATTTGCCTTTGTAGCACTTTTGGATGTGTTGAAGATGTAAGGATTCCATGCCAACAGAGAAGGATGTTTGGATTTGTGACATTTGTTGACCCAGAAACTGTTAAAATGATTTTGGATAAGGGTAATCCCCATTATGTTCGTGGATCTCGAGTTCTTGTGAAACCTTACAAGGAGAAGCCAAAGCTTATTGACAGGTGAATTTTATTTTTATTTTTTGCTGTTTTTTTTTTTCTTTTAAATCTTTTTCTTTTGGAAGTTATTTTAGTTTTATGGGTTCAAATTCTCCTGTCGTCGATAAAAGTTTATTGCTGTTGATGAAAGCTTGGTGTTAGCATCCTACTTTCTCCCCAAGATACTAACCCCAAACACAAAGCACGTGAATTTATGGTTAATGCATACTTATTTAGAGTGCATGTTCATTTTACTCAATATCTTTTAAGTAGGAAAATATGAAACATTGACAAATGTTAACACCATGAATCAATATTTATATCTTAAGACATTAGTAGCTGCCCAAATACCTTCTAGCTGGATTCTCTCCTTCATTATTAACTTGTTCTTTTTATTTCCATGTGCATTTTAATTTGGATGCAGAAAGTACTCGGGAGATAGAATCGAGCACACTCACTATGTAGACATTGATACTGAACTTACCTCGAGTGAGTATGATATTCTCTAGTTTGAAACATAGAGTTTTCTTCTCCCAATCATGTAACCGTTCTGATTTCTTTCTTTGTATGTAAAGCTTTTATACCACATCTAATACACAATTTTTATAGTTCCAAGAAGTTGTGGGAACCATCGATTTATGAGAAGGTTGCTCGTTGAAGAACAGGAGCGCGCCCTTGAGTTTCAGAGAAGGCGTCTTGCAGAGCTGCATCTGACCCAAAAAACTTTGTCCAGTTTACCCCATTTTGGATTCAACATTAATGGGTTAAAAGTATCAGATGGCGGTAGTAATATGGATTGAATATTTGCATAACTAGTTTATTACATTTTTTTGCTGCCTATCCTCCCTTCTAGTCCTCATATTTTTTATACTGATTCAGATATTTTTCTGGCAGATCATGCCAATTTTCAGCCGGCAGAATCTTTCAGCTACTCTCCAAAGGACAAAGCTAAATACACAGATACCAATTATACTGATGAGGATAGGTATGAATCATTTTCTAATAGCTTTCTCTTGATCTCCAACAATCTGTTATTTAAACACAATTTTTTGATCAATATATTATAAATCTGACCTTTGTTGCATATTTTTCACCCATACTGTTTTTTCAAAACTTAAACACATATTTGTAATTGTTATTTACTTGCCAAGAATCTAACTCTTTCACTTTTTTTTTTTTTTTAATTTTAATTTTATACAGCAGTCAAGGACTGAATCTCCCAGACAGCCCATTTGCATTCCCAGTAGATAGTGGGATTTCAACAGTTATGTAGTTTCAGAAGAACTTACAGGAGAAATATAGAGTTAAAATAGCTGCAGGCCAAAGGCAAAATCTCTAGTTTCATACATAAAAAGTGAAACTAGCTGGTGACTTTAGTCAAGTACATACCAGATGAAGAAGACCTCTTCAGAAGTGAATGATGGAATTAACAACTTACTGACACATGTAAGAAGGTTATAGTTTTTAGTTGAAAAATAATGGCAAAAGGTTTATGAGCTTTTTTAGAACTTATCACAAGGAACGAGGTATATTATCCATTATCTACAGCTTTTAGTAGAGATTGAAGCAACTTTAAGAATATGAGGCTGTGCAGGGAAAGAGTAACCAATTTCTCACTGAGAACAAATAAAAACTACAATAATTTATACCAAAAGGTCAGAATTATTCGGTATTCTTTAGTTGCTTTTGGATGACTAATCCTATGTCACTGTCCTGATAAATGTAAGGAGTTCTTTAATATCTTGAAGGGCTAAATAATATTTTTTTGTTTATTTACTTAATTTTTATTTTTTTGCCCTTTTAGTGGTGATCCAGTTTTGTGAATGACCTTTTGAATAGTTCGAAGATGGTTATAGTTATACTAAGGCACTAATATTGCAGATAAAAGAAAAAAAGAAAAGAATGACAAAAAGTAGGAACAATTTATATACATATATAAACTTTATTCATTCAATTTGAATGACAATAACACTTTTTTGAATTAATTCAATTTGTATGTTTACACATATCGTGTGATCAAAAGCAGTATATTATCTAATTATGTGTATTTGTGTTATGCCTTGTATGATTTAACAGTGTACAAGCATGTTCCATGATTTTAATTTATAATTGCAACTCAAGCAATCTCACCTTCAAGTATTTGATATCGTAATTAATTTTATCTTATTTTAATTTGACCCATTCATTTTAAAAATTATTATATTGTCTACTTATTATTGAATAATTTAATTTTAATTAAATATTTAAATTACGAAAAGAATTTATATTGTTATCAGATTGCATACTTGTTGTCATAATTTAACAATATTATAATTACTAGCTTATTAAAGAGATGTCAACTTTTTCTAAAAAAAATAAATAAAAATATATTATAATGTTATTGATTAGTCATTAGTGGTTATGAATTTTTATTGTTATGTATAATTTATTTCTCAAATTTTTTAGTCATTTTCTATATATAAAACAAGGGAAAAGTGTTTCTCCGGTCACTGGAGATAAAGTTATCTCCAGTGAGATCAAAATAACGTCGTTTTGGTTTATAAGATTAAAAATTATAATGATAAAGACTAATATAACCTGCAATATATTATAATTATAAAAAACACTTTGATTGTCGTTCTAAAACGATGTCGTTTTGGACTCACCGGATATAACTTATCTCCATTGATTAGAGAAATCTCTTACCCATAAAATAACTAAATAAGACATTTCACATAATTTCTCTAATTAAATAATGTTAAGGTGTCAACAAATAAATAATTATAAAGATAATTTGGTTATGATATTATTAAACTTATAAATGTTTTTAATGCAAATATTGTGTGAAGACAACAACTTTTATGTCTTTTTTTTAATAATTTTATAAATAAAAGTGTTTAACCTTTTTTTAGAAGATAGTATTTTTAAATATTGCAGCCAGATGTAGAATAGTTTTTGTTTTGAAAAAGTCATTTGAATAAAACAATGCATATAAAGTCACAAGCATTTCATGAACGCTTTAAGCACATTGAAATTGACTGCCACATCACTCGTGAAAAGATCCTCTCTGGTTTAATACACTTGTTTCCCATTTCTTTTGGGCACCAATTGAGTGATGTGTTTACCAAAGCTTTGCCACCTTCTGTTTTTGCTTTCAATATATCCAAGCTTGGACTTCATGACATTCATAGTCCAACTTAGGGGTATTGGAGTTACACTCATCAGATGCTACACAAGATAAAAGTATATGCAGCAAATCGAAAATAAAATGACGTAGCTTATGACGTGTATTTATAGTTGAGTTTGTTAGTTAGTTAGCAACTGATTCATTCAGTTATTTAGCAATTGATTCTCCTGCTAATTCTTTCACTACTGCATGTGTGTATCCTCACACTATAAAGTGTGTTAACTCTCATTCTGTATTCAAGCTTTTCAATAATAGCAGAATAAGAAATACCAGATATTAGTTTTCATGTCTTTGGGTGGAGAAATCTTCCAAGGACCCTTAGTTTACTAAGATATATATGTATATCTCATCTCGTGTTGTGGGACCTACTTTCAGGTACAGATGTTGCAGGAGCCTCTGGTGACAAGTGGTCATATTTGAGCTAGATGGTCATATGTGGATAGCCTGCTGTTTTGGATTGCATGTCATTTAGGATTGTTAGATGCATATGTATATTTTAAGGGCATATGATGTATTCTTGGAGTACTTAGAGCATGATCATGGTAATAGCATTTGTCATACTGTATGTGGGCAATGGCTTGGTCATGTCTTTTGTAGCTAAATCCCATGGTTATGTATTAAAGACATTTGGATATTGTGTAATATTGTACTTACTATATACATGATGGAAGGATATGGATGTCTTTTTTGATAAATGTGCACCTTAAAATTGTAAGGATTATATCTTGTAGTAGTTATACAATACCAATTAGATGAAAGAAGACATTTAGGTTGGTAAAGGTAAATCTAAGGATATCATGTCTTGTTGTCCATTTTTCATATCTCATATGATAGATTTGGATCCTTTGATCTATAGATCTTTTTCTTAGCTTTCCAACGAGACCAAGATTGCGTCATTCGGATAAGTATGACTCAAGTTATGAGTGAAATACTAAAATAGAGTGTAATTTCCAAACCCGTAGCGCTGTTGGCGCTAGTAGCGCCACCAAAAAGTGGGATGGCGTTATAGTGCCAAGTTGGTGCATACGGCACCGTAAGACAATGGGAAGTCAGTGTTCTGGCGCTATTAGCGCGAGTCTGGCACTATCAGCGCAGGGCCTTGGGAAATTCAACACCATTTTCTTCAAAAAAATCATAACTTGAGCTACGGTGCTCTAAATTAAGTGCAGTTTGAACCTACATGTAGCTAACGAAAAGATATATAATATAGTGGGGATGAGGATCATATAAGAGATATGTAATTCCCTAGTAATTAAAAAGTGAAAATGTTTAGCGTTGAATATGAATAAAAATGAGTTTTAAGCCTTGTTGGATTAAAAAAACTACATGACACTTTGTGGGAGTGATGTATGACATGGTTCAATAAACCTTAGGTGTTTCGCATATTGTTCAAGTTATGATTACAACCTTTGAAATTATTTTAATTACGAAATTGATTTTAAACAGAAACGTATCTTAACGAAAAGAGAAAAGTTTATCCGTATTTTAATTCAATTGTTGTGATTGTAACTGCGCTTAATGCCTTACATAATGTTAACAAACCAGTTCGAGAACAGGGTGTTACACATGGCCCCACACTTTTATGTATGTGTAGGAGATAATTTTATTTATAATTTTATCTCCTACAACATAAGAAACATTAAACTCATATATATATATATACAGATATATATATATATATATATATATATATATATATATATAAATGTTACATTTTCTTATAACCACATATTAACCGTTGATTTTCATCAATCTAATGATTATAATTTATTGGGTTACATTTATTAATTAATAATTAATTCCGACAAATTATAATTGTCAGATTGGCGAAAGTCAACGGTTAAAATGTGGTTGTAAGAGAAAATAATTGTAAGTATATCCTTTTACATTTATTGTAATTCTTCCTATATATGTGTGTGTGTGTGTGTGTGTATAAGGGATTTATATTTTTTAAGTTGTTGTACGTGCAACAGTCGAATACTTTCCATGTATATACGTGAAAGTTGTAACATCCTTCATTTTAATAATAGTGATGACATTAAAAGTAGAGTAAATCCCCTTTTTGGTCCTCAGCAAATTTTACGATACCCGTTTTAGTCACTAGCAAATAAAAAGGCTCATAGTGGTCCCTCAAAAATTCAAAATGGCCCATTTAGTTGAAATTATGGTCCCTCACAAATTTAAAAAAGAGCCATATTAGTCCCTAAAAGGATTAATATGGGTCCATTTTAAATTTTTTAGGGACCATGATGGGACTTTTTATTTGCTAGGGACTAAAGCGGGCATCGTGAAATTTGCTGAGGACCAAAAATGGTATTTACTCTTAAAAGTATTAATAATAATAAAAGAAAAAACAATTTAATTATCATTGCTACCATCTATACACAGATGCAATGATGCTACCATATATTTTCTTTTAAATTTATATATATCGTAGAATAAAATATAAAAAATAATATTAAAAAATCATTTTTTTTGTTAAAGATAATTTCCTTTATTGTTTTTTTATACCATTATGCTAGCAACATTGCATCGTCGTTGTCTTTCCTTCTTTTTTTAAACTGAAGATGAACATAGTTAAAAGAAAAAGAATGGTAGAATAAAACAAAAACATAACAGATTACTTGTGGTGCTAATGCATGTGAGGAAAATTAATTAACTAGAACTAACATCCTTCATTTTATAGACATGGATGTGGATTCGTACAGAACCTTGTACAATCTGACATATTTTTTTTCAAAAGTTTACTTCCTAACCTACATAACTATTTTACATTAGTCCTACATCCTACGTAATATTACATTACTTTACTATATATATAACATTCTCCAGTCACACACTGGTACATGATCCTTATTTAGTCCAAAGTGTACGCGTAAATCTCCACCTTGTCAGAATAAAATACAGATATGACTCCCTGATTTCCCATAACAATATAGTATTCTCAACGGTCATTATAAAAATAAACAGTAATATTCCATCCTTCTTTGTAAAAAGACAAGTTAGGAATCTGGAAAGATTAGCAAAACAAATAAACGTGAGAAAATTTTCAGTAATATTGAGGTTTTATAACTATAACCATTCCAGCCGTATTAACGGAAAATATATCATTCTCTCAAGTAATTTCATAAAAATAAAATTATTTCAGGAATAAGGATAAATAATAAATCGTGTAATATTTAACTGAAGCTAGTTAAATACCGAATTTTTTGGGTCTCTGCTTGTGAAAAGTTCTGTATGGCGGAGCTCAAACCAGGATAAGGCGTCCCTTACCCTAACAATCTGATCCCAAACTTTTATGATATAGTTAAAATTTACACATCATCTTAGTATTTATTTGATACCAAATAATCCATCAATCAATAATAAACTTTTAAAAAAAAGATAATAAAGCTAAAGGTAGGAATAACATCATGTAGAAAAGAATTTTAAGTAAAGAAACTGGCGAAGTAACAGTACCATGCAAGAAAAATCTTTAAAAGAAATAGTGCAAAGAGGATCCATGAGAGAAATTTTTTTATCTCTCTACATTACCTTTCTTTTATTTCCTATACTTCTTCTCTCCTCCTCTTCCGGTAT